TCTGACTGGTCGGGAGGCGGGGGTGGGGTGGGGGGGGGGGCGTTTTTAATATTCTCTCATGAATTTGTTAGAGCGAGGATTCTGCGGGCTGCTGTGTCTGTCTGTAGGGGAGATTGACAATTTGGTAAAGGGATGTAAAACAAAATGTATAAATATGTATTAGAGAGGGAAGAGGATGAGGAGAGGAGGAGAGGAAGAGGAGGAGGAGGAGGAGGAGGAGGAGGAGGAGAGAGAGGAGGAGGAGGAGGAGGGAGAGAGGAGAAGAAAAAGAGGAGGAAAGAAGGAGAAGGAAGGCGAATAAAAAGAGCCGACAGACGAGCAGACGAGCCCTAGCGCGGTCCACAGCGAGCCCGAGCACGCGGCCTACCACCGCTTCCCAGGCACGGGCTACTCCCATCAATGCACGGACTACCACCATCAAGACACGGGTCGCCACCACAAAGACGGTCGTAAAGCCTCGCTACCACAATCAGCGGGCAGTAACCGGCGACTTTACGGTCATCACGCGGCCGCAAGAGAGCATTAGAATCCCGCTTCACCTCCTAGCACATCGCAGGCCGTTCTCGAGAGCAACAGGAGACTCGCTCTGCCCTCCGCCTCGCCCTCGCCCCTCCTCTTCTCTCCTCGCCTTCCTTGGCGACGTCCCCCTTCGGCTCCCTCCGCTTTCCTTCTGGAGTTCTCCCTCTTCCCTTCTCCGTTCCGTTCCTTCTGCAGTCCTTCCTCTCCCCTCTCTCTTCCTTTCCTTCTGGAGTCCTTCCTTCCCCTCCTCTTCCTTTCCTTTCCAGTCCTTCCTCCTCCCTCTCTCTTCCTTTCCTTCTGGAGTTCTCCCTCCTCCCTTCTCCGTTCCTTCCTCCCCCCCCCCCCCATTTCCCTTCCTTCATTTCGCCTTCCTCACTTTTCCATTTTTCTCCCACACTGACCGTCCCGAGTCCTCATGCCTCATGTACCGCGCCGTTCGCCCTCCCTGAGTGCTAATAGAGCGAGGGTCCCGCGGCCCGGCGTCTGAAGAATCGCAAATGCCACTGGGAAAGTACCTCTGCTGCATATAAACCTCCAGCGAGTGACGTCACAGCGCACGGCTGATATTTAGTAATCATGCGACAGGAGGAGGCCACCGTAGACAGCGTGTCGCCTGAGAGTGACGTCAACTCCTGGCAGGTGACAAGGCCGCTGAGGTCATAAAAGTCAAGTAACGCCGCGTCCGCCTATGGTCGGCCCTTTTTCGGTTTACCCGCAATGGTATACACTTCGGGGTCGGCGAGTTATGGGTCGATATTCAAAGGCCACTTACTCATTCTGTCTACGTCTCTTTCTCTCTGGGCTAAGCCATGCTATGTACACGTTTACACATACACGCACACACACAGGCACATAAATGAATACATACATATACATCTCTATCTATCTATCTATATATATATATATACAGTATATACATAAATATATACATATCTATCTATATACATACATACATATATAAATATACACGCACAAGCACACACACACTACGTGAGTGAGTGAGTGAGTGTGTACATAGACAGATAGAGACATGATTACGTACATGCATATCTATACCTTAAGTACATTTCATTGGTAGATTTCACTGTCCCCAAAGAACTGCTTTATTACGAATAGACTCCCCAGCTGACAGTTCCAAGACCAGCCTCCCTCTCTGAAAACCGTACGCCCCTAGGCACCCCCCTTCCCCTACCCCTCCCCCTCCCTGGCCGGACAGAGAGAGAGGAGAGAGGATGGACAAGGGGATGCCACTAGGAGGGGGAGGGGGAGAAGGGGGGTTAAGTGCCATCCCGGTGTCCCTTTCTTGGCACCCCCTCCCCCCCCCTTGCAGAGGAGGCGGCTGGAGCGAGAGAGAGAGTCTGACAGACAGATGCCATTAGCGATACTGATGGCGCTCGAGGCCTTATCTCGCTTTAAAGTGTAATGGCTCGAAAGACTATTAATTTCAGTGTTTTTGTCCATCACATTGTCGACTGCCTTAATTATTGTGCGGGGAACTCGGGGGAGGAATCGCATCTTGGACCACATTAGGAACATCCCATTACCCTTTTTGTTGGGGCCTCAGTAAGGAAGGGAATGAGAGATGAGAGATGAGAGAGAGAGAGAGAGAGAGAGAGAGAGAGAGAGAGAGAGAGAGAGAGAGAGAGAGAGAGAGAGAGAGAGAGAGGAAAAAATATATATACGTTTCAAAAAAAAGCAAAACGATCGCCCGAGTCCTACTGCCATTGTTTTACGAGCGTTTCTCGCCTTCTATTTCCTCCCCCTCCTCCTTCTTCTTCTTCTTCTCTTTCCTCTTATTCTTTTCTCCTTCTCCTTCTTCTCCTCTCTCTCCTCCTCCCTTCTTCGTCTTCTCTCCATTCCCTTTCCCTCCTCTCCCCTAACCCCTCTCGTTCAACCGTGACACCGGAAATAAACAGGCTGCACCCAGAGCATTCGGTAAATAAAACATGACACAAAAAAACAAACAAACAGGTAACCCTCG